CTATTATTATTACTATTATTATTATTAACAGTATTCATATTCTGCCCTTCTCACCCCGCAGGGGACTCAGGGTGGATTACAATGTACATATACATGGCAAACATTCAATGCCATAGATACACAACATATATAGACAGACACACAGATCCAGTTTACTACTGTTCAGCTCCACGTCTCATCAGAAGACTAAGGCCAGACTGAAAAGTAATCTACTGTACTCTTACATACATCCAAGAAGAGGAATTCGACCTTTTTGTTGTATAGATTGTATTAATGAGTGAATGTGGGACCAATGCTGAATTTACAGTTCCACTGAGGCCATGGGATTGAGGCAAATATAATCAAGATATTAGATGATGAAATGCAATTGTATTGTATAATGAGGTTTTGTTGGAAGTGCAGCTGTATAAGGAGAAAAAAGCTTCACAAATACTAATTTTATTGCAAATACTACATAATTGTCATCTGCTCACTCAAATCAAAAATTCAAGGCACGGTCTTTTAGCTTGAAAACAAACTGGTTTTGTTTAAAATTTATTTCTAATCTCCATGATCGGAATTCTTGTAATCTCTGAAAGCAAAAATAAAGAGACAACCTAGAATCAGGTTTGAATTGAAACACTGCTTCTAATCCTGTTAAGGTCTTCACTTCCAGTTCGAGGGAGTGACTGAACAGTATCTACTTTTTCATTATGTCTAAATGTGTGCCTTGGACTGCACAGGCATGTTTAACATTTCCAAGCATGTTGCTTGCTTGACCAAAATAAGATTGTTAAGTGGCGGTAGGAATGGTAAGCGATGGTTTTGATGAAGGACATATTCTTTACTTATACAAATACAAGGGAAAGGCCTTTGCTTGCTGGAAGACCAGTTATTTTGGTCTGGCAAAGATCTTAATCCAGAAACCATACACACACACACACACACAAACAGAGAGAGAGAGAATACTGCACTTTGATTTTTCTAACTTTGGGGAAAGAGGTATCATCACAGCAATAATGTGCGCCAGCTGTGCCTGTACCTTGGGAAGTCTGACTTGGCCATGATGGTCCATGCTCTTGTTACATCCCAAACAGATTACTGCAACGCGCTCTACATACGGTTGCCTTTGAAGACTGTTCGGAAGCTTCAATTAGTCCAATGGGCGGCACCAGATTGCTCACTGGAGCGATGATCCTCTGCCACCAACTTCGCTGGACTGGCCACATTGTCTGAATGCCTGATCACTGTCTCCCAAAGCAGTTGCTCTACTCCGAAATCAAGAACAGGAAATGGAATTTTGGAGGACAGGAAAAGAGATTTAAAGATGGGCTCAAAGCCAGCCTTAAAAACTGTGGCATAGACACCGAGAACTGAGAAGCCCTGGCCTTGAGCGCTCTAGCTGGAGGTCAGCTGTGACCAGCAGTACTGCAGAATTTGAAGAGGCACGAATGGAGGGCGAAAGGGAGAAACATGCTAACCCTGACCAGAACCATCTTCTGTCTGGAAACCAATGTTCTCACTGCAGGAGAACACTTGGATCAAGAATAGGACTCCGGAGCTACCTATGGACCCACTGCCAAGATACTACATGTGGAAGACCATCATTCTCAAACTACAAGGGATCGCCTAAGTAAGTAGGTAAGTAAGGATTATCCAGAAAGGGAGGGAGGCATGGGGAAAAGAAAATGAAACATGGCAGCACCTTTAAAACTAACTGGCTTGGACATGAATGTTGAAATACTTATTTATAAGTACCGTGCCTGTAAACTGGCCATATTTTGTACTCCCCACCCACCCTGCTGAGTCAAGCTTGTTCTCTTATCCATTAGATCTCGTTCAGTTCATCATACATTTACCCATCTTCAGACTCCCAGTCTGGATGAAAATGCAGAAAACATTGTTAAGTAAAACATATCATATTGCTCATGTTATTTCCTTGGAGTTCTGTCAGCTGCTTCCTTCTGATAGAAATAGGAAATGAAAATCCCTCCCATTATGTCCTAGTCTTGGCCAATCCTGGGCAAGGAGATTAGCTAGATTCAGAATTTGGGAGCATTAACTTGTACTGGGGTGGGAACTACAAATTTTCAGATATTGGACTTGAAGTCCCATGGTCCAACCAAGTCAACGGGGAGAAAAGTCTGGGAAATTCAGTTCAAAAATTCCTGGAGGCGGCCTGATTCATGCTTCTGATCTGTACATCAACCATCCTAATGATGGATACTTCTCCATGTATTTGTTTCTCAGGCTCCCATAATCCTAGACTGTTATCCATACTGGTTGGGCTGGAGAGACACTGCAGACAACTGGAAGACATCATAGTCTCTCCATAGTTAGGCTCCAAACTCTAGCATGTCCGGTTTCTTAGTACAGTTGTTTCTGTATCCATGGATTATGCACCCATGCATTCAACCATTCTTGATACACAAGACATTCCCAAAAATCCAAACAGCAAACCCTGATCTTGCCATTTCATATAGCATTTATAATTTTACTATACCATCGTGAGATCCTAAACTGATGTGAGATCCTAAACTGAACACATTAGTTTTCCTGCTTCTGTTCATTCCAACATTATTTAGAACTTCCCCATGGCCTAAGCCCCATTCACATAAGCAGGTGGCTCTCCAGGCCCCTCCCAGAAAGAATGACATTTGGGGTGTATCTGTAGAAAAGGCATAGGCAAACTTTGGTCCTCCAGATGTTTTGGACTTCAACTCCAAGAAATCCCAGCCAGCTTACTGACTGTTAGAAATTGTGGAAGTTGAAGTCCAAAATATCTGGAGGTTCAAAGTTTGCCCATGCTTGCTGTAGAATTAATGCAGGTTGACACCACTTCTGTGCTATGGCCTCGTGGGAGGTTGTAGTTTTACAACGGCTTTAGCCTCGTGATGTCTAGAATCCTAGAGTTGGAAGAGCCCCAAGGGCCACCTAGTCCAACCCCATTTAGCCAGGCAGGGATTCCCAATCAAAGCATCCCTGATAGTGTGGTGCTCATCTCCATTTCTAAGCCAAAGAGCCGGCGTTGTCCGTATACACCTCCAAGGTCATGTGGCCAGCATGACTGCATGGAGCACCGTTACCTTACTGCCAGAGCGGTACCTATTGATCTACGCACATTTGCATGTTTTCAAACTGCTAGGTTGGCAGAAGCTGGGGCTGACAGCCGAAGCTCATGCCGCTCCCTGAATTTGAACCAGCAACTCAGCGGTTTAACCCACTGTGCCACCAGGGGCTCCAACCATCTGTTACTATAGGGCAGTGGTTCTCAACCTGGGCTCCCCAGATGTTTTTGGCCTTCAACTCCCAGAAATCCTAACAGCTGGTACACTAGCTGGGATTTCTGGGAGTTGTAGGCCAAAAACATCTGGGGAGCCCAGGTTGAGAACTACTGCTATAGGGAATACCATTGCTTTGACTATGCAGATCTTCATTGCCAGAGTGATGTCTCTACTAGGCCTGTGCGGTTTCGTTCGTTCATTTCGTAATTCGTTAAACATTCGTTAATTTTTGCATTTACGAAACGATAACAAACCATATTTTCAAACCCGGAAGGGTTTTTAAATATCGAAACGGCAACCCCCACAGTTTTAACGAGCTTTCGCCCGTTTCGTAAATGGGGCGGGCGGGGCGAAGGGGCGGCGCGAGCGCGCACCCAGTGAGCCAAGCCCCGACCCTGCCTGTTGGGCGCGAGCGCGGCTCCCGATTGGCCGGCTCCCGATTGACTAACTGCCCGATTCACAGAATGGTATTATACGTACACTCATAAGCGCCAAGCCTTGTTCCTGCCTGTTGGGCGCGAGCGCGGCTCCCGATTGGCCGGCGCGCGGAGGCCAGTTGTCTCTTTAAGGCGCCTCTCTCTCCCAGCTGTGTTGCAGGAAGTGCCAGGAGGAGGAGGAGGAGGAGGGCGCAGGAGCCGGAGCCAGAGCGCAGGAGCCGGGGAGGGGATTCCTGCAGCGCCGGCTCTGCCTCCGTGGCCCGCCTGAGATGAGACCATCCTCGGCGGGGTGGGCATGGCATCCTTCCGGACTTTCGCCCAGGCGGGGCCCAGGGACGGCGAGGAGGACGGCATTGGCGTCGGCGACCTGGATCGCTCGCTCCAGCAGATGCTGCGGGCCATAGCCGAGGAGAGGAGCCGCCTCAGCATCCGCCACGAGATCAGCGGCCTCGGTGAGGGGATGGGGAAGAAGGGGCTGAGGGAGCAGCAGCAACAGCAGCCTGGGCGGCCTCGGCGCCTCTGCCTGGGCCCTCAGATCGGTTGCATGGCGGGCCTGAGCTCCCCCCCCAGAATACCAAAAGCCACTTCCAAGGCACTTCCTCTATTCCCTGCCATAGGCCCTCTGCACTTCCTCAAGGGCACACGCTTGTGCCTAGCACCCACTTCCTGGGCTCCTTTACAAAGAAAAGAGGGGCCTTTTATGGCCTGCTTCCCCTCCTCACCTCCCAAAGAACCAGGCATCCTTCTACTAAAAAGAATTTTAACGAATCGATTCGTTATACCCTTAACGGATCGACCCCGCGCCAATAACGAAGCTTCGGAAGTGTTTTTACGCATGCGCGGGGGTCCGCCATCTTTACAAAATGTTTTGTAAATATTTACGAAATTTCGTAAATACCGAAACTTTTTTTTGGGAAAATTTTGTAATTATTTTAAATATCGAAACAAAAAAACACCCCAATTACAAATCGATTTTAGAACCAAATTTTTTCTTGATCAACCAGGCCTAGTCTCTACTCTTCACTATTTTGTCGAGATTGGTCATTGCTCTCTCTCCTCTCAAGAAGGAAACGCCTTCTGATTTCCTGGCTGCAGTTTGCAGTCCGGTAGGCTGTGAAGACTTGTGGGCGTTGAAGTCCAAACCCCTGGAGGGCCGAAGTTTGCCCAGGCCTGCTCGCTTTCCCCGCTGAGCCGCCCTTTCCCCCGCTGAGCCCTTCGGGGCGGGGAGAGGCTTGCCTCAGAGTGCCCTCCCTCTTTGCTGGCTGAAGGGGCGTGTCCAGGCAGGCGCGGTGACGTGTCAGGGGGGCGGGGCTTCTCCCCTCCGCTGCAGCCTCGTCCACTCTCTCTCTCCCTCCCTCTGCCCCCGCCCCCACCCGCGGAGCCGCCCCGGAGAAAGGAAGGATGCTCGGCGGAGGTGAGGAGGAGGAGGACGGGCCCTCTTTCTCCTCTCGGGACGGGAGGGCGAGGAGGGCCTCTTCCCCTCATGGCGACTGAGCCCTTGGCCAGAGAGACGCCCGGCGTTGGCGGGCCCCCTCCCCTCCTCCCCCCTTCTCCTCCTCCTCCTCCTCCCTCGGACTGATGCGGCGGCGTTGCCATGGCCCAGACGGAGCGCCCGGAGGAGGCCGGCGGTGGCGGCGGGCTCTGGCGAGAGGAGTCGGCTCTGCGCGCCAGGAAGCTGCAGCAGGAGCAGGAGGAGGCTGCTCCGGAGGAGGCGGCGGCGGCGGCGGCGGCGGGGAAGTGCTGTCCGCGTCCGTCGGAGGAGCCTGCGGCGTCCCGGCTGGCCTCTTTGGTGCTGGTGGGGCGCGGCCTGGAGGAGCTGCCGGAGGGCCTGTGCGCGGCGGTGGGCGGCGGGCTGAGCGCGCTCTCTCTGCGGCGCAACCGGCTCTCGCAGCTGCCGCCGCCGTCCACGCTCCGCCACCTTTCGCGCCTCTCCGAGCTGGACCTGAGCCACAACCGCCTGCGGGGCCTGCGCGACGAGGGCCGGGCGCTGGCCTTGCTGGGCGGGCAGCTGCGCAAGCTGAGCCTCAGCCACAACCAGCTGGGCGCCGAGGGCGGCGAGGAGGAGGGCGCGCTCCCGGCCGGCCTGGCCCACCTGCGCCGCCTCGAGGAGCTCGACCTCAGCTTCAACCGCCTCCGGCGCCTCCCCGACCAGGCCCTGGCGCCCCTCCAGCGCCTCCGCGTCCTCGACGTCGACCACAACCAGCTGGGCGCCTTCCCCGCCGCCCTTCTCGCCTTGGCCGCCCTCGAGGAGCTCGACTGCTCCGGCAACCGCCTCCTCCGCGCTTTGCCCGAAGGCATCTCCGCCTTGACTCGCCTCAAGGTGCTCTGGCTCAGCGGCACCGGCTTGGAAGCCCTCCCCGAAGGCCTCTGCCGCCTCGCCGCCCTGGAGAGCCTCATGCTGGACGGGAACCGCTTAGCCGCCCTCCCGGCTGGCTTCGGCGGCCTCCAACGACTCAAGATGCTCAACCTCTCTTCCAATGTGTTGTCCGACTTCCCCGCCGCCGTCCTGGCCCTTCCAGGTTTGGAGGAGCTCTACCTGAGCCGCAACCAGCTCTCCCTCCTGCCCAGTGGAGTCAGCCAGCTGCGGCAACTGCGCACCCTGTGGCTGGATAACAACCGCCTCCGTTTCCTGCCAGACGCTGTAGTCCAGCTGCGGCAGCTGGAGGAGCTGGTGCTGCAGGGCAACCAGATTGCCATCCTGCCCGAGGGATTTGGGCAACTAAGCCGGGTCAGCCTCTGGAAGATCAAGGACAACCCCTTGATCCAGCCACCCTATGAGGTGTGCATGAAGGGCATCCCCTACATTGCGGCCTACCAGAAGGAGCTGGCCCACTCTCGTCCGGCCCTGAAGCCCAGGCTCAAGCTAGTCCTCATGGGCCTCAAGAACGCTGGGAAAACCCTGCTCCGGAAGTGCCTCATGGAGGAAGAGGAGGGCGAGGAGCTGGGACAGCACAGGGCTTGTGCCCTCTCCGCAGCCGGGAGGGATGCTTCCGGGAAAGGCAGGGGCTGCTTCATGCCCTCCCTGAGAGACCCACCCCAGCCTCTGCCCCCCAAAGCACAGCTGAACCACCACCCCATTGTGGAGCAGCCAGAGCCGTCACCTCTGCCCTCATTGTCCCCTAAATGTCTTCTCTCCGCTGAGCAGTGGGATGTACTCTCTGGGCAGAGGCAGGGGGGTGGCACTGCTGCTGAGCAGCAGGATGATACCCCACGGTGCCCGTCCCCCAAAATGAATGGGGACATGTGCTTAGGGCGCTACCCTCTGCCACAGCCCCTCACACCCCCAGTTCCGCATGCAGCCGGGCTGCCAAAAGGCAGCAAGGGCATCGAGGTGACGGATTGGACAGCCGATGCTAAGCGGGGCCTGACTTTCATTGTGTACGAGCTGGCAGGAGACCCCAGCTACGACGTCATCCAGCCCTTTTTCCTCTCCCCTGGAGCCCTTTATGTCCTGGCTGTGAACCTGAGCACCTACATGCCCCAATGTTTTTATCCTTCGGTGGGCCACTTCCTGCACTGGCTGGGGGCCAAGGTGCCCCATGCGGTGGTGTGCATGGTGGGCACCCACGCGGACCTATGTGCTGAGCGGGAGGTGGAAGAAAAGTGCTTGGACATCCACCGTCAGATTGCCTGGCAGGAGAAGTGCGACTATGAGGGCCTTCAGGCTTTGGCCCAGCAAGTGGACGAAGCCCTGGGGCAAGATTTTGACTTTCGCTGCTCCAGCCCCCACGTTGCCTTCTATGGGGTGTCGGACAAGAACCTCCGGCGCAAGAAAGCTCAGTTCCAGTACCTGCTCAACCACCGGCCTCAGATCCTCTCCCCGGTGCTGCCTGTGAGCTGCTGGGATTGCTGCCAGGTCCGCCGCTTGCGAGAGAAGCTCCTCTCGGTGGCCGAGCACCGGGATATCTTTCCCAACCTGCACCGGGTGCTGCCAAGGTCCTGGCAGGTGCTGGAGGAGCTGCACTTCCAGCCGCGGGCTCAGCAGCTGTGGCTGACCTGGTGGGACTCGGCTCGGCTGGGCCTGCAGGCGGGCCTGACGGAGGACCGTCTCCAGAGTGCCCTCTCCTATTTGCACGAGAGTGGCAAGCTGTTGTACTTCGAGGAGCATCTCACCCTGCGAGAGTACGTCTTCCACAACTTGCCCCGGCTCATCGACATCCTCAACGTCTTCTGCCAACGTGATGCCACAGTCTTGCTCCAGAAGCTGCTCAGCAATACACACGTAGATGAACTGAAGGCCAACCAACTCCACCACTACGTGGAAGGATTCTTGCTCCATGGACTCCTCCCGGCCCACGTTATCCGCTTGCTTCTCAAGCCCCACATCCAGAGCAGAGAGGACCTGCAGCTCATCCTTGAACTGTTGGAAAAGATGGGACTTTGCTACTGTGTCAATAAGCCCAAGTCCAAACCTTTGAATGGAGCCACCGCGTGGTACAAGTTCCCCTGCTATGTGAAGAATGAGATGCCCCATGCCGAGGCCTGGATTAATGGGACCAACCTGGGTGGACAGTCCTTCGTGGCTGAGCAACTAGAGATTGAGTACAGCTTTCCTTTCATTTTCCCACCTGGGCTCTTTGCCCGCTACAGTGTCCAGATTAACAGCCACGTGGTCCAGCGGTCGGATGGGAAATACCAGATTTATGCCTACCGGGGAAAGGTGCCTGTGGTGGTGAGTTACAGGCCAGCCAAAGGCACCCAGCAGCCAGAAACTCTGTCGATTGGTAGTCATGCATCGCTACCAAATATATGGACAGCTTGGCAAGCCATAACCCCACTAGTGGAAGAACTGAATGTACTGCTTCAAGAGTGGCCAGGCCTGTACTATACTGTGCATGTCCTCTGTTCCAAGTGCCTTAAAAGAGGGTCACCCCGCCCACACACCTTTCCGGGTAAGGAACCTTTATTAGTTAGCTATAGTGTGTTTGTTTGTAACTGGGTGGACAAGGAATACAGATGTATAAGGAACTGGGGTAGCTTCCTTCATGTATATGCAAGTGCCTCATAAAATGGTGGGCAGGTGAATACAGCCAACCATTTTTCTACACCACAGGTGTTGTAACATCCTATTTGGCAAAATTATGTAAACAATCTCAAACTGACAATCAGAAAATTTACCCCAAGAGCAATCTGGTCATTGGTTGTGATGGGCACTTCTGGGTTCACCAAGTTTTTGATCAGGTGTAGAGATGGGATACAGTTCTTCTTAATACTATGTCGGGTCATTTTACCATTGCATCTGCACTAGATATGTAGTAAAATTCTCATTTAAGTAACAATTCAAATCAGGCAGGATTTCTTTAAAGCAAAGCTTGGTCATCAGTGTTATCCTGCCAAGAGGGGCTTCTCCTGCACATTGGATGCAGGTATTGGCTAGCCTGTGCTAGAAAATGGCTGTCAGTCTTTTGCCCCAGAGAACTGTGATACTCTGGGATAATTTGGTCATCATTTTGAAACAATTATCTGCAAACTGAGGGACTTTATTGCTTGTTAGTATTTAAATCATTTTTTTGCTGTTCAGTAGGAAGTGTTTTGAGCTAATCTGTATCTTTTGTGCTTCTGTAGCACATATTGATGTATGAAAGAAGTAGAATGACTGGGTGTGTCTTTGTTTAGCTGTGCAGGCTCCTCTGCATGTTTCCATGCACACAGTTCATTATTATCTCTATTAGAACTGTGTGTTTGTGCTGACGAGCCTTAGATGCTTTTACAACATTTAACCCAATGTAGGTGTGCTCACAATGTTATCTCTTTCAATCTTAAGGGGCCTGCAAAAGTTGCAGTGTTATCTGCCATGTGTTTTGGTCTGCCAAATGGTGGCACCTTCTCCCTCAACACCTCTTGTTATTTCCCGAGCCTTGAAAAACAAGGATGCTTGGCATACCAAAACACAAGGCTGTCCAGCTTGGTTACTCACAAGTTGCAAAGGCCTGTTGGCTGCCATGTGAATGTACACTAGGTCCTCGGTATCTTTGGGGTGTGGTTCCAGGAACCCCTGTGGATATCAAACTCTGTGGATACGGAAATCCCATTACAAATGATGGTATAGTAAAATAGTGTCCTCCTGCCTATGAAGTGGCAAAATCAAAGCTTGATTTTTGAAATTTTGGGAAGGGGGTATTTTTAAGCAGAGGCTGGTTGGATTTGTAGAGTACAAATTCATGAAAACAGAGAGCTGACTGTATTTGTAATGTTTTTATGTGCTCTTCAAACAAAATGTCCTAAGGGGATCTTAAAAATATATAATGGTTTTCATAAGGTACAGAAAAAGATGTACAAACATGTATGTTATCAGATTTTTCACCTTGTTGAAATCATGACCTAACAAGGAGATAATTCTACCAAGCCCAAACCTGTTTGAACTACGTTTTTCTGCCTATGGGATGTATATGTATCTCACTTCTGGTAATCAGTTTTTGTAGATTTTATGTCATAGAAATAAGGACCAGACATGGAGCTGTTTTTCTTTTCTTTCTTTAGAATATCGATGTGTGCACATTGGCACATTTCTACCCTTAAAAAAAGTTTCTGTCCATAATTAAGCCCAAGTGTGCCTTGCACTTTCCATGGTGACCTTGAGCCCATTTAAGATTAAGTACATGTCCTCATGTGCCTTGTTCCTCCATATCATTCTACCGCACGTTTTGAATGGTTTACCTCATTTTAGGTGCCAGCATATGGCAGGATGATCATCTACCTAGGCTTCCTATCAGTGTGAATTGGCTGCTTCCCTCTAACCCATTAGTTATCATCCTGTGGGTCCCTAGATGTTTTTGGCCCACAACTCCCAGAAATCCTAACAGCTGGTAAACTGGCTGGGATTTCTGGGAGTTGTAGGCCAAAAACATCTGGGGACCCCAGGTTGAGAACTACTGCTCTAACCCATTAGTTCTCATCCTGTGGGTCCCCAGGTATTTTGGCCTACAACTCCCAGAAATCCCAGGTGGTTTACCAGCTGTCAGGATTTCTGAGAGTTGAAGGCCAAAACATCTGGGGACCCACAGGTTGAGAACCTCTGGAACTATGGTGCCATATCTACAATTACAGCACTGAATTTCCTGGAGAAGAAGGTGGCAGCCATGATGTAGCAAAAATTAAGGCAAGTAAGGAATCAGGATTTTTGGGTGGTTGGGTAAATGACTGTGGCCCCTTCTACACTACCATATAATCCAGATTATCAAATCAGATAATCCACATTATATGCCTTGAACTGGATTATATGAGTCCAGTTCAAAGCTGATAATCTGGATTTTATATGGCAATATAGAAGGGCCCTGTGTCATCTGAATTGGGGTCCCTATCGCCACAATCCTGCTGTGTTTTCTCCTTGTGATGGAGCTTAAGATTCTGACTTTAAGAATGTTGTTGTGTGACTCTAAGTTGCGTCTGACCCCCTATCATAGGATTTTCTTGGAAAGAGTTGTTCAGGGATGGGGTAGCTAGTACCTTCCCCTGAAGCTAAGAGTGTGTGAATTGCCCAAGGTCATCCATCTGGTTACGTGGCCAGTCAGGGATTTGAACTCGGCTCTCTCCAAGTATAAACCTACTACTCACTGTGCCACACTGGATCTCACCTAGAGAATGAGGACAGATTTATTTCCTTTTCCAAGTGCAATAGCTTACTGGGATGATATTTTCCTAAAGTGTGAGGGCTTTTTGCAATATTGTGCCCTCCCCTCTGAGTACCACTGAAATGTGACCCTAAGTCACTATGGGAAATTGCAAATATTGCCAATTTCCAGCCAAGATTTAGTGATGGGAATAAGGAAGAGAATAAACCACCCCAAAGAGATGATGACTGTTGTAGCAGACATTATTCTTGATGCAGGTTTATTTTGAATTCATCGCTTGTATGTAACCGGCTGATACTTGCATGCCTTTGTAATGCAGGGTTGAGTCAGAACGCCAGAGTGTTGTTGGCAAGCAGAGCGTACTGTTGGCATAAAATCAAGTCAAACCCCTGACCTTAATAAGCAATGGGACTTTTCTTTCAACTGTCTCAAGTAGTGTTCTGAAAAGTTGGATTGGGAGAGAGTTGAGCAGATTTCACTCCTATCCAAACTGTAGGTTAGTTTTTTAAATAGTGAGGTATTTACTTAGGCTGTATTTTTTTGACCCAACTTGATACTGCTAGTAATTCTAAAACTAGTAAGTAGGTACTTGGAAGTAAACAACGTGCAAGTACCTTCAGAGAACTCAGTGATCCTGTTCATAATAAGCATTAATGTCACAAGCTCCTCCTGTTATGCAGGATTAGGTTAATACATTGAGTTTTCTCTTGCAGACATACCAAGATCAGGATCCTGGTTTGCTAATGTGCTAGACTTTATGGAAACAGACATTTTCCCTCTGGGATGTATCCCATTTAATAACTAAATATTCCCATGACTGGTTTCTGCATAAACTGGAGCACAGAGTATGAAATACAGCCATCCTATTCATGTTTACAGAAAGTGGCACCTGGGATTTTCCAGTATCCTCGAAAGCAGTTTTGTGATATGGTGCGTTTTCACATTAACATAGGATTTGTTTACTTACCTGTAATCAAATTACTGGTTGCTCTTTGTGTACATAAGTGTACAGGAGCAGCAGATAACACTGTCTCAGAGAATGTACCTAGTATCTGGTGGACTTTGTTCTTGTCTCGGTACATCTCTTGTTACTTATATAGCACCATCAGTATAGTATAGCAATTGCTTTTTAGAGTGACATAAGGGCAAAAAGAAGATACAGGGAAAAACTAGTTTCTTCTACCCATAGAATTTACAGTCTATCCTTTGACCTGGAAGGATGTGGCAAGAGTACTCAGAAGTTTACTACAGAAATTAGTGACAACAAAATGAAGAACGACTGTTCTAGTCCTCCCATCCACCTATTAGTTGGTAGGCATGAAATCTTGGTGGAGAGCCAACATGATCTTTGGACAATTCTGGAGACAAGGGTTCAAATCTCTGCTCAGTAATGGGAACCCATTAGAGCCCCCGGTGGTGCAATGGGTTAAACCCTTGTGCTGGCAGGACTGCTGCCCAAAATGTCAGTGGCTCGATTCCTAGGAATGGGGTGCGTTCCCATCTGTCAGCTCCAGCTTCTCATGCAGGGACATGAGAGAAGCCTCCCACAGGATGGCAGAACATCCAGGCGTCCCGTGGGCAACATCCTTGCAGACTGCAAATTCTCTCACACCAGAAACAACTTGCAGTTTCTCAAGTCTCGCTCCTGACACGAAAAAAGGGACCCCATTGGGTGATCATGGGTCACGCTCTCTCTGTTGCCCTTAATAGGGTTGACCTAAGACTGAAATAATTCAAAAGGCGCACAATAATGAAATCTTGCTTTTGGCCACTTGTGTCTAATAGAAGATTATTAACTTGGTTTCAGGGTAGGCACACAAACACACATACAGACAACTGGACTCAAGCTGAACTCATTCAAGGACATGGCAAGCCCTCTGAGCCCAGAGGTTACTGATTAAAGGCTCTGCTATTTTCAGGCTACCTTCATCATTGGATTACCAATAGAGGGAATTTCTTCCTGGGAAGAGATTAGTGAAGTCCTAAAAAAACTAAAGTGCTGGGACATGTGGTTGAGGACAAAGTAGTTCATTTAGTGTGTGAGAGAAGGGGATATTTGCTTCCTGCAGCATGTTTACTTTTTCCTCCATAAGAAGAGGAGAAATATGTTTCAGAGTGTGGTTTAAATTTGCATTGTGCGCAGTTTGTTTATAATGAAGACTGGGAGCCTTGCAAGAGAGAAATGAAAAATAATGGCATCTTGGCAGTGAAACTTGGGGGCATTTTTAAGTGGAGCGATGCAGGTCTATTAATCCGTTCTTTCTGGTTTTGTGTTTACTATTGCAGACAGGTGCTGGGATCCTGAGGTGGGAAAATTGCAG